TGTCCAATTTGTCATATCAGTCAGATCGGCCAAACATTTCAAATCACATGATTGGTTGTAGTTGATCGGCGCAGCATGGATCACGCCTTCAATGGTATAAAAAAAGAGGCGATGTGTGACGCAGTGAATTTGCGATTAATTTTTGCTAGCTCTATGGTATAACTCTGATCGATCTTTGAGCATGTGATTTGAGGATCCAATTTGGTATCATGATAGCATTGTGATAGCGTCCTGGTAGTATCATAGAACTCTACTGAAACTGTCATGAAACTGGCAGAATGTCAGAGAAGTTCTATTAGTTCGCCAGTTTTATACTAGCTTGGGTGCCAAAATATTATATTTAAAGTTCTGGCCAAAATTGTGAAATAGTGTTGGCTAAAATTAAGCGAATTAATACTGCATTTTACTGCGTTATAGTCATATAATACTGTTCTAATGCTAGAATACCCTCACATAGTTGCTTCCCTCTCAATTGCTATTTCTTGATTGACAGATAAGTCACGAAGTGCTAAATTTGCAATCCATATATTTGCTAAAGATGTGTTATGCTATTCTTGCAATTCCGCCTTTTATAGCCTATTTGATTGTTGAGAATAAGGCACGAAGTGCCGAATTGGTTCAGAATTTACATCTTTCATACCCTTTTTTCTTGTATTCTTCTGAACCTTTCTGCCTTTCTGACCCTTTTCCTACCTATTGTCGGTAGTATCCAAAAGCATAATTCTTATTTTCTTTCTATATAATTCTACCTTTGGATACTACCAAATCTATACCCTGTTTTACGCTCCTGCTTTTCTAAAATTCTTTCTCGCATAGTTGCTACTTCTGGGATACCCCTATACCTGATTACTTTAGGTTATTACTATATCGATTACTTTTGAATAGACCACTAACCCAATACTTTGCTAGTAAATTTTACCTTTGGGTACTACCAAAAGTTTACTCTATTTTTCATTCCTATATTCCTAAAATCTTTTCTAGCATAGTCAATACTTTTGGGTATTACTATATCGATTACTTTTGGATACTATTATTGACCTAATAGTTTGATACTGTGAAAGATAAGCCAACTGTTTAGTGAAATATTTTCTCATATATCTACAGCACTACAAAAGATCTTTGATCAAAGGAGGCGAATATAGCTTTTTTATTTAAAGTTTTCAATTTTCTATATAGTTTTATATTTTGTTGTTATATTATTATCATGTTACTTGCACAAAATAAATTCGAACCCAACCCACTTGTTTGTTCCGAACTGCTTGAATTAATTTTTAATAATCTCAAGATTAAAGATATACTATATTCCTGTCTTACTGTGAATCATCAATGGAATTTTGAAGCATTTTGAGTTATTTTAAAGCAAAAGAAAGGGAACTTCATAAAGATCTTGATTTTATAAAATATTGGTTAGACTGAAGTAAACAAGAAATAACCCGTATTCATACAGTTCTTTATACTCTATATTATGATTGTGATGCTGTATATTTATAACTTTATAACTCGCGTAACAAAATATTAACCATGCGAAACTTTATTATAATATTTATTTACATTTAATAACACTTCTAATACGAATTAATGCATTTAAAATTTCTCGAGATTTTGTTTTAGATTTCATAGGTACATACATTAATATATTATCAAACAATAAACCATTAAGTCAATAAGTAAACTCCTATTAATTTTTTCGCTTCTTAGTTTTAGAACTTACTTGTTTCTTAGCTTTAGGAGACACATGCTCTTTGACTCTTGATGGCACCAATACGTTATCTACAGAGTGTTTCTTCTTCTTGGAAGCTTCCTCCATCAAAGTGAAGGTTCTTATTGTTTGTTTGAAAATATTCTGCACAAAAATAACAAAATTAAAAATAATAAATGAAATGTTAAAGGGAATTTGTCAGCTTAGTTACCTTTACGTTTAACATCATCCGTGCTATTGTTACAATCTTGCTCATTTCATCAAATTGAGTGGGTACATCAAATTCTGCCAGTATAACGGATCCATGGTATTTACCACCAATGTATACATTTAACAAAACCCGAATAAAAAATCGAGATGAGATAAATCCAGGCAGAAGCAGTTTTCGGAAAGCTTGAGCAACTTTTACAGGAACAGCACCACCACCTGCGTTAGACAAGGTTTCTAATAACGTCTGGTGCATGTCACGCAGGGTTTTTTGTACTTTTAAGGTGTTATCTAGTATTTTTCTACCATTTCAATTTTAGACCCTGCTCTTTCACACAGTGAAAATTCTCGCCCCCAGGTAAGATCTCTTGCGAGATCATGTCTCTACAAACAAGAATCATTAGCTAAAGTTTGTTTATGATAATGGATTACAAACATACATACCGTAAAAAGCCAATCTAGATGATAACCTTCTGCTTTATCAGAAGCATCAATTGCTTGAGTACGGCGTTGTCGTGAAGCTCTGGAAACCATCTCCCCACTAGTTAGTAATGTTGAAAAAAGGTTCATAATATATCAGTAAGAATGTATATAATAAATTTCAATATATTAAAACATGATCAGCAGTTTGAACTTACAAATGCAAATCCATAATGTCATCAAAACAAGAAAACATGTGGGACTTGAAAATCACGTCAATATCTCGTTCCGAATTTTCTCGTTGCGGAATTTTTTTATCGATCATATTGTATCTAGTTTACATGAGTATTCAGTTGTT